CGATGAAGAACATGACAAATGTGAGTACTGCAGAAAAAAAATATTTTAACTTTCGTTTTATTCGTTTCGCTTCTAATTCATCACATGATAATTATTTATCAAAGTTAAAAACACTCTCCAATATAATAAAAAAAGTAATGGAATTACTGGAATATACATTAGATATATATTGTAGAAATTGTACAGGTAGAGAAAAAAATATGCATTAAAATTTCATTCAAATGTCCGAAAAGAGTTTGAAGTGTAGAGTTTGAATGGAAAAGTTTTTTCTCTGCAAAAAATAACATGATCCACCTGCGCTGCTTCCAAACAACATGGCAGTAAGGTGACTATTATTATTTTCCTTTAATCACAAATATTTATTCACTTATCGATAATTTAAAAAAATATTATTTACTTCTTCTTCAAATGGTGTAACTTGAATAATTATATTTGAGGATTTACAATCAAGATAGCACTTGATGGGATATGGCAGAACAAAGAGAAACCCACGTGGATGTAATATACTATAATCCAAAAAAAAATAGAGTTTATTGTAGTGATTATTATGTGGAAGCATTGAAAACTCAATTGCACAAAAAATTGTTCAATATTTCAATACCGCTTAAATAACCATTGAAACATGAACTAGGAAGCATTTGCTTCTTATTTATTGACAACTATGATCGGATTAATCACTGATTATTCCAACGTTGAAGCTATCAATGTGACAGTGAACGGTCATGAGCAATCCCTTGTAGGCAAGTGTTTTTTTTTTTAATTAAAAATTGTGAATGAGGAATAGACGGCCATTAATTTATGTTCCTTCATTTTTTTGAGTGAGTGAATGCACTTGTTATGTCCTAGCAAATCTCTCTTCAATCATTACCATGTCTATCCTACGTACGTACACATATATGTATTGAGGAAAGCATGTCATATGTTGTACATAGATTCCCATACTTCACTAGGAAATGCATCGATTAGGGCAAACTACCTTTCCTTGAAATCCAATTATTTATTGAATCAATAAATAGCTTACCTCCTCTGCAAACTCGAAATCACCATCGAACTTCCGCTTACAATTTACACCAGTAATGACAACTGACACAGCAATCAGAAACACCCAACATACAAACCGCCCCATAATCCGTCAAATTCTTGCAATATTCAATATTTTCCTTAGTCTCCACTTATTCTCAACCTACCACCATTTACAATAAAAAGATTCTACAATATTATTCCCTTTCTATTGTTCCTCCCCAATGAGGAGAAAAATCTCGAAGAAAAAAACTTTTTTTGCACTGAATCAATCGGACACCCACAAAATGACCACAAATTTTCAACGGCACAGCACAATGCGATACTCTGGATGGGGATGAAAATGGAGTGGTTATAAGATGAATAATTAATTATGAGGTTGAATGTTACTGGCTATTAGGTATCGAGAAAATTGTGACTGACTTGAAGAAGAAGCATATACTGTAATTCCCCGCCGACGCACTGGCATACGGTGAGTGCTATTGGGTAGAAAGCTCAAAATGTGCGCGCGTCTCCTTCCTTAGTGTATTTCTACAAATACACTGATACCACTGATGCAAGTGGAAAATTGTGTGATTCTCTCTCATTGGGGGATGTAATACGGACAAGCGTATACTGTGTGCATGGTTTTTCCACGTAATGTATAAACGTTCATTTTCACTGCAAACAGATTCGCGCGAGCGCATCGCCGACTAGCACATGCCGTCGATATTCGTAACGTGCGCCGGTTCCAGCTTCCTAGTCGATTTTCCATATATATATATATATATGTATGGAATATCGATAACTTAATAACAGCTTATTAATATAAGTAGAAAAAAATATTTCTGACCGTAAATCCCTTTTATATTTACCACAAATCAGACATGAATAAATGCTTCACAATTTTTAACAGGAAAGGAGCATTGAGTTTGTATTTTTCACCGGCTACAAACACCATTTAAGAATATATGCACTCTTTCACATAGGTCGTAGATCGATTTAATTCCATTAAAAAATCATGTACTACTTGCAATTATTAATCACTCAGTGTTTAAAGCACGGCCAAAAGAAAAGGGCCAAACGAAAGATCTAGATGGTCTTGAGTGAAAAAAAAGCATATGCCAAATTGGAAAATATTAGCTCTAATTTGTTGCGGAATATTTAAAAAGTAAAATAATAACTATAACGTGGATTCCATTTGCCCTTGTCTTCCATCCTTGAGTAAGACTAGGCTTCACTTCAGGTGCACATAATGCCACTTATCGACTGCAATTGAATCATGATACAAAATTATTACATATAATTATTAAATATAATTATCCAAATTCTATTCT